CTCTTTCAAAGAAGCTGTATTATCTCAGATGTCTTATTAGAGAAATAGTGTTCAGCTAGAAGAAGAAAAAATAAATCAAAAAAGGACCATGTGTCCACCTCCAAGTTGTATAACAGTGGAAAAACCTGTTGATGCCAAAGTAACAAATCTGTGGAGAAAAGAATCATGTAAGCAAGTTAGCTATATCTTCTAAGTCTGGTTTTTTGACAGCAGTATCATTCATCAGAGATTCCTGAAGAAATCACATTGTTATATTTGATAGTGTTTATGTAAAAATATTTCATTCTATACTAACATTTCACCAACTCTTTTACAGAAGAAGAAAAAAGCAGGCAGCGGGATTTCAGAATTTAGTCAGGCAGCTGAGGACCTAGATCTGGTAAGAGAGCATGGAGTTTTGTTTGAGTGCTCTCCTGATAACTGGACCGATCAGAAGAAACCACCACCAACAATGAATTACTGGGTTGTGGGGTGAGTTTAAAGACAAATGAATGTATTTCTCCCAAGGTTTTCCATTTTGAATATGCCGCTGTACTCCTTAAGAATAAATTTAACGGTAGCACATCACAGAAGTACTTGAGCTGACTGACTGAGGAAGCTTTGATTTCAGATCTGGGAGGTTGCATTGGTGTGATGTTCCACCTGCTGCAAAACATAGGTGTGTCAGTTCAGGTGAGAACCGTGCCAGCACATTAACACCGCAGAGCTGGCACCCTTTGCAGTGTCACACAGTGCTATGCAGACATCCTTAAGTGCTGCAATCGTACTCTTAATACCCTGCACTTTCTTTGTGCTCCTCACACTCCTTCAGATCTCTCCATTCCCTGCTTTGCAAGTAAATCCCACCTGTCTTGCCTTCATCCATAATGCTGATTCAGTGAAACAAGGAAGTAAGGTGAACAATTCTTTTTTTTTTTTGGGAAGATCAAATCAACCCTACCAGTCTATTTGAGATATTTTGGAAAGGGAGTTTTCTTTCCTTAATTTGCTTTCAAAGTTCTGCCATTATCATTGCAAATGGATTGTGATTTGTGTTATTATTTAAACTTAATTTTAGTGATTTTCTTAATGATGCCTATAGTTATTGCTACATAGCTAAGCCTTATTTGCATGACAGAACAGCATACTGCCCTAGGCATTAAATATTAAGAATAATACATTTTTTGACTTAATTAAAATTAGGTGTAATGAGAAAGTAGTATGTATCATTTCTTCACAATTCAGAATATATCGGATCTTGTTTAAGTCCAGGCCAGTAAGCCCTATTCTGTAGCCACTACTTCTCATATGTTATTCTTTCCTCCATCTACTATTTTTTGTGCTGTCTACATTTTAGCTGCAGTAAGCAGACGGTCACATTAGGAGTAGTCAGTCAACAGGATGTTTCCTTCTTTTCTACGTTCATCTTCTGTATTTGGTGTTCCTACTAGATAAATAGAAAGGAAAATGCAAATGCCCAGTTAAATGGAAGCTATATGGAAGCTTCCACCATATGAAAAACAAATTCAGTATAGGCAGGGGGTGAAAGGAAGATAAATGATTATGCTTGATTAATTCATGAAGTTATAATTATCAACTAGTTCAACTATTATGCAAATAGGAAAGTCAGAAAACAGCAAAATACATTTCTGAACATGGCATAAAACTTTTTTCTGATACAATGAGAGGAAACATCATCCACAGGTAATTATATTGGCCAGGAATAATAATGTAGAAATTCTCTAGCAGAGCTTTTGTTCAACCTGTTTGCCTTCAAATCAGATGTTTAAAGAGGAAAAACAATTGTTTCCCACTATGAACGTACATAACTGCAGTTTCTGTGCTATCCTTGGGGTTGGAAAAATTAAAATCTTTAATTTAAATGTTTTAAAATGTTTATGCTGCTGTTGATATCTTTTAAAAAATATTTTTTCAGTCTGCATTATCAAATGACATGTTGAATCAGCGGCAGTCTATTAGTATTTGCAGTGCTATCTGCTGTGCTATAATGCTACACACAGTTATGCACAGGTATTAACAGCCTTCGTATTTTAGCTCTTTCCTTAAGAGCTTATTAGATTGACATTTGGGAATGTACCTACCCAGATGTATTAAGTTTAAAAATTAGTAAATATGCGAATACTGGGGCTTGCTTGATTGCAGCTTGTTGCCCAGAAACTTGGATTACTGCAAACAGACCAGTACCATACAAATAGATCCTGAAAACCTGAAGAATTTTTTCCATATACAGTCTTAAAAAAACTGAGCAGAGAATAACTTGATTTAAAAATCTAATGTATTGAAAGAAGTAAGATAATGCAGGAGAGCCACAGAAATTTGCTAGCTGTCTTACACAGCAGTTGTTTTTAACATCTTACTGAAACCTCAGAGTACAACCAGAATATATCAAACAGTTGAGGAGAAAAAGCTAACACCTATGATAATTTTCCTTTTTTTTTCCTTTCTTTTTTTTCCAGGAGACTCATTCTACATCCAAAACCTCAGGAGTGTTATGTCTGTTTTCATGACTCAGTCACAGAAGCCGCTGTTGAACTGGCCTTTAAACTCTCCTTCGGCTTAGCTACATAGAAGAGCTTCCTGAACGTTCAGCCATCCTGCAGGGTGCTGTCATCTCTTTAAAGTACTTCAGTATAAAAAGAAATTAACTTGGTTGTGGTGCCCACTCATGATGTATCTTTGAAATGCTTTCAAAAAAAAAAGAAAAAAATCTATCTTGTGGTAATGACACAGGTAAAACTTCAGTGATGATTCTAATGATCTCATCAATTGAATACTTAAAAAGATTTCAGAGAAACAAAGTTCTTATTTTTATATACTGTCAAATTATTTATCCTGATCATAATTTTATTATATGAAAACATCACGTAATTTCTACACTCACTGCTGTTCAGTGTGTAATATGCAACATCAAATGATAAGCTGATATCCTCAAAGTACTCTCTGAATATCTGGCAATTGGTGATGGAGGGGAAAAAAAAAAGTTTTCCAATTAATTAAACTTTTTTGCCTCTAAGGGCATGAAAAATACTGAATGTTTTCAGTAACACTGTGTTAATCAAAACAAAGAAATCTTTTAGCCAATTCATGGCACTTAGCCACACAAAACTAATGGCTTATCATTTTTGCCAGTATGGTCTCCTGCACACTCGAGCACTATAGTGTGGTCGATGTTCTACTTGACTTCATGAGTTTTAACTACAAACAATACTTATATTTGTTGAAACACAATTTTGAAGACACAAAAGAAGATGGGGGGCAGCGGGGTGATGGTTTTAAGACCTATGCATGGACTCGGCTAATTTTATATTACATTGATAATTTCATAATTAAAAATGTATATTTGGCAAAGTCCGGTAAAGTGTTACTCTATTTTTTTACTTAACATATTTTCTCTTTTGTTTATTTAAACAATATTTGTTTAGCTAGGTCTTCTACAATTTACAGCTGGATATTACAAAAAATGTTAGGTTACATCCGTATAAAGCAAGAGAAGACAAGATGTTTGCAAAATCAGAATTATTCTACAAAATTCAGCTTTCCTACAAATTGTTAAAATGTTTGTAATCTACAGACCAGCTGCTCCTAAAGTTTTTTTTTTTTTTGCTAAAGTTTAGTTTAAAATGTAAGATATTTTTGGGGTCTTTTCACTCTCAGCCAGCACACTTAGGTCTGGTCATCTGCATAGCATTTCATCATGTTCCATGTCACAACAGTGCTTTTTTTTTTTTTTTTCTTTCTGCTGTTTCTACTTGCTTTTCGTGAGTGCTTTTCATAAAATGCATGACTAAAGTTGCATTTTAAACAATGGGATCAAAAAGTTTAAGTATTCAGGAAAGTAAACTCTGTTCCATAGGCTCTCATGATCAAAGCTTTAGATCTTGTTTTCACTAGTAAATTACACTGTTTAGAGTAGTTCTAAAATAGTCAATCAGATGCTTAGAACTGCCCACTCTCACAGAGAGATTCACAGCTTGTCTTGAATCACTCAACAGTTGCTTTAGTTCCAAGCAGTAGAAGTCATATGATTGCGGGTTTTGTTAATCAGCTGTCTCTAGAATTTATGGTTCCTAGAAGATGAGAGACAGTATTTCATGAAGTTTGAGACATACAAAACTGAGTTACAGCAATAGTGCTTGAGATTTGCTCCCCATCTGTACATCAAGTGATGTGAGATTTACTCTGCTTGAGAAATAAAAATATGTAATAGTATGGATGACATCTGAACAACACCTTTTAAAAGTCTAAAATATGTGGGGTTTGAATATTAGGTTTCGTTGTAGATGGAAGAAGGATCGTGGAAAAACAAGCAGTCTTTGCTGCACTGCTTTTAGCAGGTTTAACAGCTTTTACAGAACCTGTGTGTGTGTTTGTGCACGTAAGTGTGTATCTGTGGAAAAGGGTAATTTTGCCTGATGTTTGTCTCGTTTCAGTCTTTTAAAGGCTGGGCTATATGGTTTGAATGCTAAAAAAGAAGATACTTGAATGCTTTAGAAAGAGGACAGCTAACTTTTCTCTAGATCCTTGTGTTTAGTCAGACCTCTGCTGCCAGTGTAGTGGGTCGAACTCAGTTGACTCAGGTGGGCCAACCACACAACTGAGTCAATGCAGAAGAAACAGTGTGAATATGTAGGTGTGTGTGGAGGAAAGAACTGAAGGAAGCTGGGACTCCTTCAGTACCAATCAGCTATTTAGATTGGCTTGCTCCTTCACAAGAAACAGTACCCTAAACAGAATTAAGGGTATCCAAGTATGGTACACCTGTTATACTTAAAGCAGTGTAGTTCAGCAACAAAATGTTGCAAAATTTGCAGTAATTATGTTGATACTACACTTAAGGAGATTTTTATTGTTTGCTTTATTACTCAAGAAGCAGAGACTGTATATTGCAGATTTTTAAGAGTATGTTTAAAAAGAGCCCCAAAAAATGATAGGATTTCATTTCCTACAGAACACGTATTTTTTTATCAGGTATCTTTCATACAAATCCTGTAGCCTTGTAATTTTCAGGAAGATCATAGCAGTGAATTGGTGTATAGAATTAATGTTAAAAGGAATAGATATGGAGAAGCTACTAAAGGAGTTAAAGTAGTAGTATTAAAGCTCAAAAGAATTTATTTTGCCTTTAAATTATTACTTATAAAAACTACTAGCAAAGCAATGTGGAGTACAATGGAGTACCAGGATTAAAATTACTAATATCAAGGGAATGCAAGAAAGAAAAGTTAGCATTTAAAAGCATCTACAATTAAAACGTTGTGACTGAACAAATACGGGGTTTCATGCCTTCCTTAGTCATAAAGTCAGGAGATGTAGGGGAGGTAAAGCAAATAAAAAAAAAACCCTGCTATCAGCAATCTAGAAGAAATTGGGACTTCTGACCTGCAATGGAATGGGTATAAATAACATGACTAAAATTCATTTACTTGTCATATATAATGTTTATTAACTCATAATTCAATATGATCAACAACTACCCTTTGTTACCTGGTTTTTTTATTCTCTAGTTCCTGGTCGGGGGAGAGGGGCCAGTTCCCACAGCTGACAGAAGCTTCTGGAAAGTTCCGGAGGTCTCTGGAAAGCTTGCTGCCCGCGGCTCAGGGAGGGCGGCACTCCCTGGAAGGGATCCAGGTAGTAGAAGCAAATGGCACAGTTTCTGAGCGGTTTTCAGTGGAGGATAGAGGTGGCTCAGCTCCTGGGTACCCCGAGACCATCAACTTTTGAGGAAAAAGAAGCCAGTTAGGTGCCCGCCAGCCACGTGCTTTTTGGGAAGAAGAGGAAACGGCAGCGGGGCGGCCAGGGCGGTGCTGTGCGCTGTGGCAGCCCCACAGGGTGAGGACCTCTGCCACCTCATCTCCTTTGGGAAGGACCTGCTGGCTGGGCGCGGGGCGGGCGCCCGCTGAAGGCCCTGTGGGCGGGCGGCGGGGCGGCCGCCATCTCTGAGATGGCGTTGGTGCCTGTCGAGCGAGTGAAGCTGTTGCTGCAAGTGCAGGCCTTGTCCAAGCAGATCCGGGCGGATCAGCAGTACGAGGGCACGGTGGACTGCTTCGTGCGCGTCCCCAGGGAGGAAGGTAGGGACCTCGGGCTGCTGCCTCCTTCCCTGGGCCGCTTCCTCGTCCCCGCGCCTTGCCCTCTCTCTCCCAGACCTTGTAAAAACCAAAAGCTTTTGGAAATGCTTTTGAAGCAACGGCAATGGAGCATCCATCATGGGCTGCAGGCATTCAAAGGAGTGCGGATACTGGCGGAGGAGGTGGTGAAGAGGGAGTTACTGCTGGGTATGTGCTGGCAGGATTTTTTGTTTATTTGGTAGTAGCAAAGTTGTGCTTGTTGGTATTTGTGGACAGCATAAAATACCCTTAACGTTTTCCTTATGATAGTTTTACAAAAGCAGCGTTTATTTGACATCCTCATGTTGCTGTATAGGAAAGCATGATCAAAATAAGAAATGAAAACGCAGTTTTAAGTTTTCTTTTTCTTTATGGAGTCTTTGCCTTCATCCATGGTGACACAAGAAAATTAAGAAGTCTGAATGAAGAGCATAGCTACGCATTACAGAGCTCACTTTGTTGTCACTGCTTAGCAAAGTCTAACATGGCCAGCGAGTCCAATGTCTGTGAACATCCTCACATACATTTTTTTTCCTCGTAATCCATATAAGATTTGCTCCTGCACTACCTCCTGAGCTCCATTTAGCTGCTTACGCATTTATCGTAGTGTCCAAAAGGATCCTTTCTTTAATTTAGAAGAAGAATATGATTACAAAAGCACTACCAAGTTTCTGACACCTGTATAAACCGTTCGTCTTTGCTTTAATATGGAGTGTGAGCACCCCCTATGGAAGCGAAAATGCATAGGCGGGCTACTTCAGGAAAACCATTTCTAAACAGTTCTGTGAGATATTCTTCTATTTTGCAGTTTCCGGACTGCAGTTTACATAGGTATCCCTAGTCTTAGAAATATATGAAGTAAGGAAGTTGAAAATCTTACCTATTTTTCAGCACTATTGATGTTTCACTTGCAGTTTTAGTTTCTATTGCTAACACCGAATGTGTACATCTGTTGGTGTCAGAATAAATCCAGATTTCCAATACCAAATGCCTGAAAAATAAAGGACCTGAAAAGCAACATTTTTGGCCTTTGTTACAGCTCATACCAAAGCAGAAACAATAGGAGTATTGTATAATATACTTGGTGTAGTATAAACTGTGGAAATGGTATTTTAAAGATCCGTTTCTTTTTCCGTAGGATTTTTCAGCTTTTGGCATGGCAATTTGGCAAATGTTATATGGTATTTCCCAACACAGGCGCTAAACTTTGCTTTTAAGGACAAATACAAACAGATTTTCATGTCCAAAGTGGATAAAGAAAAACAGGTAAATAATCTCTTGCATATTAGTTCTGTTTAATAAACTAACTAGATCTGGTCAAGAGCTGTGCAATTCTTTCTCTCAGCATGGTTGGTAATTAGTGGTGATGTATCGATAAGATTTTGTAATGAGCTTATTTTATAACGAAGAGCGAACATGGTTTACTGTGTAGCTTATTGTTGAAGGTAATGAAATCTGATTTTTGATCTTTAACGATTAATGAGTTTGTAAGGTGCATGTAAATGCTTATTAACTGCAGTCAGAATTTTCAAAGTTTTGTTCAGGACATAATTATTTTGGAGTTAACTGATGCAAGTATTAAGATGGATATTAAAAATTTTGGACTCAGACACTTATGTTTCTGGGCTTTGTCAAAAACCCCGATTACATTCTCACAGTTAAGATCACATTAACATGTACTCTAGTCTCAAAAACCTTTACGTTGGTAATTTCACTCACGTGAAATTACAGCTGCTTTTATTCTAATGTGTGAAGTCCTTGGGTGTGTCCCTCAAGCAGGAGTCTCTCATTTTAATTTTTTTCACATTATTTTCTTGATAATCATTAGTATGTAAGGGTCAGAAAAAACTTAAAGATAGTAAAGTGCGTATCACTGCTGTAGATAAGTAATGCTTCACACTGAAAACTGATTTCTTGCTATATGTGAAGCTAGAAACGTACTTATCAATAGTTAAAGCATTTTAAGAACTTAGTTTTGTACAATGCACCAGAAAAGGAGCAGTTTTAAGTTATAGCTCAAAAAGGCAATTAAACTTTTGGGCTATGCTGCCTCACCTTGCAATTCTGTGTACTTGGGAAAAGTCCCTTAACTTGGATGGATTCTTGAAAGACACGGAGTTCTACACTCATGGAATTAATTACAAGAGATCTTGGTCTTCGAATGTGAAATGTTGATATTGGCATTTGACAAATTACTTAAAATTCATTCATATCAGCAGATCGGAAAATAAGTTCTTTGTATCTAATTTGTTTAATGTGAAAATAGCTGGAAAATCTGCTTTATTTGTGTCTGTCTTAGGTTATCTGTTTTAGGATTTCTTTGGTTAGGTTTTGATAATTTAAACAAAAATCCAATGTTCTGTGCTTTCTCTTGTTGACAGTTTTTTACTGCAGTGCCAGAAACTTTTCTTGCCACAGGCTTTTCTGGTGGTGCTGACCAGGAGGAATGCTGTCAGTCATTAAAGTATGATTGATCTCCTTGTATTGCATGCAAATTCTTAAGCAGTCTTTTTTCAATTACAGTCATTTTGTATGTAAAGTGTTTAAGCTTGCTGTTTTCTTTCTTTTCTTACAGTGGAAAAAGTAAAACATGCATGATATAAATAACAGTGTTTATAGTTCTTCAAACCTCCTTTCCGTCTCCTGGAAGTGCTTCCAGATGGCTTACATGTGTATGAGCTTGTGACTCAAATTTTAGAAACATTCCATGAATAGCATTCAAGATTAATTTCTTTAGAAGTATAATATTTAGCAAAGTAGCATACCCATTGTTGAAGCTCAGGGTCTTTGGATGCTTTCTTACATGTTTTGTGCAGGACAGGAAATGGGGAAGACAATATGGTTACATGCATTAGTTTTTGCTTAGCTGGATTATTTTGGAAAAAAAAAAAAAATTACTAAAACCTTTAGATTGTAAAGGAACTTCTGTTAAAAAAGACCGGTTACGTCTATGTGCCAAACACTGGGTATTGAAGGTAATACTGGCTCAGCCAAGCATCTTCAGCTTGCAGCTGCCCCTCTCCTGCTTGCTACTACAACTAGCAACAATTTATGCAGCAACATGACCTAGGCCAGGTTGCAAAGCCTGCTGTACAACTAACAAAATATTACGGCAGTTAAGCTATGCTGGACTCCATACTGCTACAGCTACAGTGTTGCTGTTACTGAACCAGCAAATAAAAAGTGATTTTGCATACATCTACTTGGTCTGCATTTACTACACAAGATGTACCTGTGATGCCGTTTAAGTCAACAGAGCTATGTCAGATACCACCACCTAAAAATGTTATGCAAAATGTTTCTTCTACTGTGATTAGCTTTTTCTTATTTGGTAAACAGTATGGGCCACAGTGAAAGCAAGTACATTGATTTTTATGTTTCCCCATTCCTCCATCATGGAGAGTTGATGCACGTCGTTGTATCAGGGAGGTCCACAGGCCGATTGTTATGGATGACTGAATGATCACAGATGAGAAAGATGTTATCTGCTATCTGGGTCACAAGAGCACCATATAATTCAGAAGTTGAAAAAGAAAATAGCTTATATTTTTTAATAAATGTAAGAATAGCCAGGGAATCTTTACAAGTAGAAATTTGGAAATACCGCAGTATAGATCTTACTCTGAGACTGCCATGTTTCTTTATTATTTTGTAAAAAATACAATGGCTTAGATAGATCTTATTTTTCATGCTTTAAAGTTTCATTTAGTATCTACAACAAAGGTCAGTATTAGAGTATTGTAATACTGTATTTTCGTAACTGCATACAGTAAATTTTTTTTCAGTTCTGGAAATGGTTTTTGGCAAACCTGGCTCCTGGCGGAGCAGCAGGAGCAACGTCCATGTGTGTACTGTACCTGTTAGACTTTGCATGAACTCGTTTAGCTGCTGATATTGGGAAAGATGGTGAAATCTCTTAAATGGCACTTCCAGTTTTATCTGATGTGCCTCACGTCTTTTACATTTACTTCATTTTAGAAGTAGACCAATATTCAACAGTATTAGAATTCTTTCTATTACTTAAAAATTTATCATTGCACAATTACAAACTTAAAAGTATTAAGAAATGTATGATCTTTATGGAAAAGGAGAGGATGAAGGTGAATGAAAGAGGATTCTTTGGAAATAACTGCTATAGCATAGCTCTCAAAGTTTTGCGTTATTTTTAGATTCTGTATGGAAAATTTTAACTGAATTTTGCCAACTTTGGATGCCAGAAACCAGAGGAGTTTAATTTTTGCTAACCTATGGTTTTATGGGGTGTCATTTAAAGAGCTAATGACCATCCTTGTTCTATATCAAGAGTATCAACTGAAGATTTTCAACAAAGATTTTGAGTAGTATATGTTTGTAGATGTATGTTTCATTCATTCAAATAGGTAAAATTAATTTCCCGAAAACAGTGTCTGGAAGGCTTTGCAGCAGAGAGAAAGAAATCTCTTGCCTTCTGTATTGTTGTTGGCTTTCCTGATTTCCCTGCAATGGGACAAGTTAACTTCAGTTATTGTCTGTGCTGTGCAGGGTTGTCCCAGGAATTGGCTGCTTGACTCTGCCTATTGCTTTCTGTGCCCTGTACTTGGGCCAAATTAGTATTTTCATGATATCTTCAATATAAGGAGGTGTATAATTTGAAGCTCTTCCTTCCAAGATCGGTTTATTGCTTGCTGTGTTTTCACCTGTAGAGAATCCGAACAGCTTGGGTGTAATTACCTGTGGAATGTGGAAACAGATGAAGAATCTACAGATTAAAAAAGTGAATTTTTTAACTTTGTCACAGCTTGTGGCTAGTGTTCCACTATGGGGAGAAGCTGAAACGAGTAACACTTCTAACAAATTTGAGTATGAATGCGTGGCGAGGAAGTGAAAGCATGGTATTGCGTAGAAAAAATTCTTTTCAGAGAGAGGGTAAGAGAATTCATACATAAACATTCAGCTAAATGAGGACAAAATGGGAGCAACAGTTATTTGACCTGAAAGTGATAGTGGATACCACTATCTGTTTGAATAAACTGTCTTCATCCATCCATGTGTCCCAATTTCTTCTTTAAGCTTCGTTCGTAAGTGGAGGAAACAATGATCCGCTGTGTTTTTCGTATAATTTTGATAATGTTAAATGTTTCAGTCATGCAGAGTAGTTTGTACTAAAGAGAAGGGCTTCTGTAAAGCATAACAATGTGCATGAATTTCTTTTATATTAGGTGCTGCTGAGCGACAGTTCCAGGGACTTGGTGACTGTATTATTAAAATCGCAAAGGCCGATGGACTTTCTGGCCTGTACCAGGGTTTTGGTATTTCAGTACAGAGAATCATTGTATACCAAGCATCCTATTTTGGATGTTATGACACCATTAAGGTAGCTTTTACAAAAATGCACACGTTTTAAATCTTTATCATGATATTTTAAATATTTATTATGAACTAATGAGGTTGTTAGTTACAGCTTTTGTCTTTACAGTTATTTGTGTTTAACAGAGTATATTACTGAAGAGCCAAGTAATTTTGCAGTAGGATTAAAAACAGAAATTATCAAAATTATACTTGATATCTGCTGGATTTGACATACATTTTACAGAATTTGTACAGGCTTCCATTTTTTTTTTATTTTGCAGGGATTATTGCCAAATCCAAAACAAACTCCATTCATTCTTTCCTTTTTCATTGCTCAAGTTGTGACTACTTGCTCAGGAATGCTGTCTTATCCTTTTGACACTGTCAGGAGATGCATGATGATGCAGGTACGGTCTAGTGTGCAATCCTCTTCTGAAAATTACTTACTAGATTTTTGAAGTTTGATATGCTAATTGAAGCACTGTATAGCCTTACAGTGGGCGAGACTCTATTCAGAAAAAAAGCAGAAACATCTCCAGAAAGACAAGAAGAAAAATAAAATAATAGTATTGTGGGAGTCTGGTAAAAGCATGTTCAGGTCATGGCTTAGTGAGAGCCTTTAGTAGAAAGGCAGGATCTGTTTTCTTTTTCCTACTCAGAAGCCAGATATTTGGAGTAAGACAGGTTTGTGGGTAGAATAATATCCTTTATTAGCCCAGCTAATGCAGTAAGAAAAATGATCTTTGTGGCACACAGCTGTTCTTCAGGTGTGAGGTAGAATCAGTAATCTTCAAAGCTCAGTACAAGCAGAGAATTATTTCTCAGCATGTAATGGGTATGATAGTGTATTATTAGCAATTAATGTTGGATGTTGTTCCTAGCTATTAGGTAATTTTACTAGGTAGTTCAATAGCATTTGAAGTACATTTAATAATATAAATTCTTGCTATGAAGATCATCCTCAAACACGAAATAAAAAAAACACAAAAATGCTCTTGAAAAATCAGGACCTTGTTCCCTGCATCCCTGAAGAAGTTTTGCCATCTGATAATAGAAAGGAGTTGTTAGTTCCAAAGAAGTGTCTCTATGTTTTTGTTTCAGGATTATCTTCTCTTCTCTCGGTACTCCAGAAAATGAAAAGAAAATCCGAATAAGTGTTGGCATAGAACTTGCTTTCAAAAAATCCTAGGAGATACTTAGATTCTTACGTAATGCCTGCATACCTCTGGTAATCTGCCCTAAACAACAGAAATCCTTGAAGCTTAAAGTGGGCAAACACCATTAGCACTACTGACTTCTTCCTTTCAGACTAAATATGATTTCACTGTCTTCAGATTCTGCTTTATCTGCTTAATCAGCGGTAGGCTTACAGTTAATGCTGTCTTTATTTGTAAGTACTGTGCTTCTTGAGGCTTTACCAAAAAATTGCCTGTATTTCTGGTAATTAATTTACCACTAGGATAGAGAATAGTATCAAGATTATTAAAAACATAAATTATAATCATATGAAATAAGGTAACGGGTTTACTAGCACAAAAGAGGATGAGAATGAGAGGACGTATATATGTTGTGGATGTATAAATATATTTCATGCGGTGTTCTTGTTTCATTCATGTAGTTTTGAAGCTTCAGATACAAATAAAGCTCATTAGTATGATTTTTATCAATTTCTTATCATTATGCTTATTCTGATCCAAGAGGAAGCCCTGAATTAAATATAGCCCCTTTTAATTCTTCAGTTAAATTGTGTTTGCCAGATGGGATGACTTTCTGAAATAATGAGCATAGTACAGTTACTGCTTTCATTAAAGTTGATTTGTCAGCAAAGCAATAATAACCATTACCAAATATCCTTTCATTTGCATATATTCATGTAGATTCAAACCAAAATATTTTAAATGCTTTTTAGCTATGTTAGTATGCTTACTTATATTGATTTATGTGAATATTTATCATAGATGTATTTCTTACATTTCTTTGGTTCAGGAAATCTATGGTGATCTCATACCTTGATTCCTAACAGAAGATGTAACAAAATGTAATACTGTTTTCATCAGAAAATTCAAACATCACTTTATTAGCTGCAGAGTATATCACAAAGGCCTGAAGCAGGCAAGATTATCTTTCTGCCATTATAGAGTCTAGAACCTTACCTTGATATTGCAGGTGGCTTTGACTTAAGATGTACTAAATTAAGTCGAATCTTCAACATTAAGTAAAAAAACTACTGTCATCTTCCAGTAGAATTTCACATAAAGATAGGGATTTTGGATTAATCTCTCCAAAAAAAGTGTACTTGTTTTTTGCTAGTGAAGACAAAAACCAGTGTCGGTTCCTAGCAGAGTCCTCAAATCCTGAAGAGACTGCAGTTCCAAAACAGGAATTGTTTCACAGTTCCCCAAGCACACCTACAAAAAACCGCTTTGTCAGAGCTTTGGTGTTACTCAGAGTATCTGAGCGATTTGCTGTCGTCATTATGCTGAGTTCCACAGTGGGCACGAGTATTTCCCAAGTGCTCTGCCGTGCAGAGAACGGCTACATAATGTTCCTCTGGGCTGTCTCTACTCCGCTGTTGAAATTTTCAAAACTTAAAGGAGTTGGCATGATTTCAGTCATACTGCACTTGGAAAAAGCTGAAGGGAGAGTTCAGTACTTTAGCTCTGACTTGTACCGAAAAGGTCATATGGGTGCATGTGAACATTCACTGCTTGTCATCCTTCATTTCCTTCACCTGTAAGCACTTGAAGCAAATTTTAGTGAACATGGTGCTGAGGTCTCTAACAAATCCTCCTTTTTGCTTTGTTTTTGTTTGTCGAGCAAATTAATGCTCAGAAACAAGGTGGGCTAGATGAAAACTGGACCGCGCTCCTCCTTAGCCTTCCTATGTTTTTACACTATCGTGCTAGTCAAGACCTTAACATTTTTTAGAGGACTCTATTGATAACTAATAAACTGAAATCTACTTAGTATAAAAATATTTCAGTGGTACTAAAGAAGGAAAAAAAAATGAGCTGTGGAAGTTTTAATAGCATTGAAACAATTCAGAGCACCCTTAGGACTGGAGTGACCTCATTTAATTCCTAAGCCTTCTACTTGCCCAGTAAAGCTTAAAAGAAGCATCAGAAGAAGGATCACAGCCTTTCTAAATTTAGCTAACAGAGCATTACATCAGATAAATATTTATTAGTTAAAAGATCACTCCTTTGCAGTAAGTGAAACATTAGGAAAAAGTTCCTTAGTGTTCTTCACTAAAGAAAGACAAATTTTGCAAGTTTCTTTCTCAGTGCAGTGCCATAATGATTTGTCCTTACTACTTCTGTGCAGAGCGGGGAGACTGAACGTCAGTGGAAAGGAACCATTGACTGCTTTATGAAAATACACGAGCGAGAGGGGCTTAATGCTTTCTTCCGTGGAGCATTCTCCAACATCCTTCCTGGAACAGGAGGAGCGTTAGTGCTAGTGCTTTATGACAATATCAAGGACATTTTTAATCTCGATGTTTCAGAGAGTTCAGGATCCGATTACAATAGTGAGTGAACATCTATTTTGCTTGTACAGTGTTCATGCTAGAACTCATTGTTTGCATAGCATATCTTTAGTTTAAATGTTACACAAACAATACTTTTAAGAAATTATTTGGATGTTTTTGTAACTAAGCATGTACTAAATTAAATAATTTGTTTTCAGGGAACTAGAGAGCACTGTTTTCATTTCATTCAAGAAATGAATCCAAGAAAATACTTGCCTCTTGTTTAAAATTCTCAATGTTTCAGTTTTATTCATACTAAATGTTACACTCCTTGAATTTTAAATTACAGCATGTACTTGAATATATTTTGGTAACAGCAGTTTCCCTAGCCTGTCAGCAGAGCCCACTGTAAGTGTCATATCAGCCTGCTACAGCTTCTACATGAACCACAGTAAAAGGAAAAGCTGTTTCTAGCCTGTTGATGTGTTTTCATGGTATTTCAAAGCCCAAGTCAAGACAGCAAAGGAGTTTATGTTGGTTTTTTTAAATTGGCGTTAAGAAATACAGCAACTCACTTTCCTCTCTGTCTCATCCCTCAAACAACATTGAGAAGACTGTAGTCTGGCTGGCAGCATTTTAAGCCAAAGCATAGCCCAAAAATGTGGAGACCCAAGCACTGAGAGACTTAGAACACTTAGTACATTATTTCTTAAGGAAATTCTAAAATGGCTGAGGATTCTTCTCAGTATTGAGGATAAATCTTACAGTGAACATAAGTGAGGAGACTCTTATTTTTATTTCTGAGATAATTGTCGATAGAGAAAGGAAAAAGAAACCAAACCTTGTGGAATATTGGTAACTTTGGGACTCAAGAAAGCATTTAGGAGGCCTTTATTTAAATGTTTGGTTTCAAAGAAATTAAGGCTAGCTAGCGTTTCTAACATTTCTCCACAACCATTAAGTTTCGCACAAACCCCTTAGCTCCTTGAGTTAGTACAAATATTTTTTTAGCTGCTAAAAAATCAGATGTGAGCCACAGGCCAAGAATTGGAAAAACTCGGACAAGACCAATTCCAAGATTGCTACAGTGACAGTAGATGACTGGGGATATGCTCGGGCAAGCTTGTGGCTAATCTGACTTGCGTGAATTTTGTTCATTCTTGCAGACTGGGCAATCAGTATCACACTGAAGAACACGAATGAGACTTCTATGAAATACTTTAAGAGTTTGGCTTATCCTGCTTATGATCTCATCTCCAACTCGTAACAGCCTTACCCTTGACAAAGCAAATAAAAAGTCCACTGGCACTTCCCTTGTCGCTATCATGAGCGTCTACACACGTCTGCGTTCCTGACTGCACATTGAAACCAGCTGGCTTGGTTGCCAGAAACAACACTGCAGCGGCAGCGCGAAGCTGCGTACAGGCTGATTTATCCTGTAGAGATGTGAGACATGCCAGCACTTCTGCAGCGATGGCTTGTCCCCCTGCTGCAAGGTTGCACAATTTCTTCTGGGCCTGGCTTAGTAATGTGGCATAGCTACACAAGAGAATTTGCGTATAATCTCTTGGCCCAAGGTTTCTTTTCAGTCAGGAGTTAGCCTCGGGTGGTGCTGCAGAAGCGGGATGCTGCAATACCTTGAATCACCGAGAACTGGTTTTGTAACAGGGATTGAAACAGCAGAGCAGAAACCTGAGTTGGGATTTGTCTCCCTGGCTACTACAGATGGGACTGGACCCCGTTTGCCATTCTGATCCTAATACCAGCAAGGGAAATGAGGTGGTTAATTGCTTGTACTAATAAATAGTAGTTGTGTTACAAATAAACAGTGGCTCTCTTGCTTCTGGAGGTTTTAGAGGGAAATGGCTTCTGTCATCGTCACTAGGAAAATTCTAGTTGTGAAGTGGACCATTGAAACAGAAACAAATGGAGGGAGAATCAAAACTCTTTTGACAGGGATGCACATCTAGTTTAGTGGTTTAGCACTTTTTTTTAGTCTCTCCAGTGGAACAAAACTGTGCAGCGCAGTGTCACGTACTGCGTCAGAGAGATGTCATATTGCTGTGTGAAACTGAGATGTCATTTGTAGAAGCAGATAAATACTTAAGGTGCTTTTCCAGCCTGTAGGTATGTTTTGTGGAGTTTCAGTCCTCCACACTTAAAATGACACCCGTAAAAAAGGGTGACTGCAGTAGAGATACTCGGGTTTCGGGACATCTTTTTTTCTGAGAAAGAAAAATGACAAAGACGAGGCGCTTCGGGGAATACGTAGGCACAAACCGGGGATAGCTCTTCTCTATGTGGTGGCGGTGGGGGGAGACAGATCGGACTCGAAAGTCCCACGCGTGTGCCCGGCCCTGGCCCCAGGAGCAATCCCCACCTCGTTTCGGACACGAACGCCTGGGTTTCGCTGTCGGTGCCCAACGGCTTTCCGACACAGGGCTGACCCCGCGCCGCCCGGCCATCCGCCTCCCCGCGGAACCCGGGGCCTCTGCCCCTCTCCTCACCCCAGCGGCGGGTCTGGGACC